CTGGTTAGGTTAACCGGAGATTTTCGAAAACTGCTCCTATATTTTCAATCGCGATTCCACTGAAAAAACTCATATCTAACTCTTAAATATGAGCATCTCACTTGAAGCAACGGCTATTAATACCTCAATTGTTGACAACTTGAAGCGCTGCAATTTAACTCGATCAAAAGTGTGCAAACCGTTTTTGCAACCGAGCTTACACTTAAAGAAAAAAAACAGAACGTTCGCGTGTCGGGCCAGACGTGTCGTGTTCCACTGCGACGAGGGCAACTCGCTCGATCGACGATTATTAATAGCACACGTTTAAATAAAGTGATATCAGGAATCATCATCTATTATTCAGGCAGAGTGTCCATTAAACCGCTATAATCGCGAGAAGGTTGTCGGTCTCGCGCAAACGTGATACTTCCGAATCGATTTGCGAAAAGTCGCAACGCAGTCGTGGGATCGATAGCGCGACTCAATGAAAGAAGAGATCTGCACAATATATACCGCTGCGTCGAAGATTCGATCGTTTGCAACAACACGGAGTGTAATTTAATTCGATCGCGGAGGAGTGGTTCGAGCGTTTAAATAAATTTCGTGTTCGAGGGCGGCACTCCTCCTGCTCTCCCCCTCCCCCGCGGTCCTGCTCTCACCCTCATTGCTATTCATACACCTACCGTCTGGTTGTTCGATATCTCGGGGAAAGAAGAGCGGGAGGATGGCGAAGGGTCGGCCCATTTAAAGTCGCGCTTCCAATCTCAATTCAAGAACCAGATCTGTATACCGGGTGAATCATTTGGTATCGTCGAACGTGATACTCGAACGTCTTGCTTAGTTTCAAGCGAGGCGCCAATGCCTGAAGGGAAGACGTGCGACAATACTTCACAGATAGTTATCGCGAAAGATAGTTTGCAGTTTAAGGAGATTTCAGCGCGTTTGACCAGAAGGTGTTAGATGTAAACCCTATAGTATATACATAATAGCATTTTCAAAATGATATTTGGAAAACAGTAATTGCATCCAAGGGACACCATTTACTTCATTTAAACACCAGAAAATCTGTTTCCTAAAATTTTTGTGACTCTGCTAAATAAAGGGTTAAATAAAACTGATCATTTATTAGATATAATAACGAGGATATTTAATATTTATATTTCTCTTTCGCTACAATAGATATTGACATTAAAAGTGTCTTACAATTTTTATTTAATAATTTTTAAAACAAATTACGTAATCGTAATTTATTATATATTCTGACATTTACGAATTTAATCTCACTAATATTGTTGTAAATTAATTTTTCTAGTCATTTTGAAAGATTTTACTAATGAAAGATGCTAATTGACTGGAAAATAGCGCTAGAATCTTCACAACAGTGTCAAAAACGTTCTCTAATTTTGAGAAAGTAGCATTCCATGTAAAGTCAAATCTGGGAATTTTAATGAGGTATAATTTTGGCCTTCCTATTATCTCGAATAAATAGGATTGCAACGGTCGGATAATAGGAACAAATGTCAATCGACGGTAAAATGAAACTTCGAAAGCGACGAATTCAGTTTAGAAGCCGATTTCAGTTTAGAAACCGCTTATCGATTCGCACGAGTCTCGGCATTATTTAAAGCACTCTTCCTCGTTCGTTTCGCCGGGTCACCAGAAATCATTCGCAAGATGATTTTTGCAGGTCGCGGAAACGCGAGACGTTCGACGTTTCGCGTTGACCCGACCGCTTAGCGATCGCTGGAAGTCGTATTAGCCTGCAGTTTCGCTCGGTCGTTATCGTTGACGTGAAGTACGAGCGTTTAAAATTAACTCGAAATTCCGCGGCAAAGGGACGCGGGATTTCTTCACTTGGCGGAAGTAGTTTGTTACGCTGAGAGCCAAACACTGAATCGCATTTGTTTGCGCATTATGTCCGTAGCGTCGGGGCTAATTGCGTTATAACGTCGTTACCGTAATAATTAATTGTTCGTTTATGTTGCCGTGCTGAAAACTGCTTTCGACCAGTCACGCATTCCACAACTGTTAATACTATACGTTGCTGCATGTGTGTTTGCGTACGTGTACGTGTATGCCGCATTCATCGCTCGTACATATGCAACCGCCGGCGCGATTCATTCGTCAAACGCAACGCAAGAGACACATTTGTCACACATGCGTGTGTGATGCGTGTAAATATACTTACGTATTGCGCGTGCACGTTGCACGCCCTTAGTCTTAGTCCCGCATTAACGGTCGTCACTTGAAACTTGTCTCACGTGAGACAAGTTTCGATCTGAATTCAGGTTTAGATCTCAGCTTTACGGTTAACGCTTACGACACACGTGGCATTTTATTGACAATCACGTGTGATGGAAACTGGAAAACTCAGATCCAACACTAAATCCCAATCTGAGCTTCCTACTTGAGACAAGTTTCGACTATTAATGCGGATCTTAATGTTGCCTTAAAATACGACTGCGAGGCATGAGCGAAAGCGTCGTCGATCCTGGATGTACAGTTGACATCGCGATAATAAGATAAAATATGAAATCCGATACGAAGCGTGGAGGAGAATGTTAAAATTTCAGAAACTATCCGAAAACATAACGGCTAAATTGCGACGCAACTTAATTTTGCGATGATTGATTTTCGGAGACGACCTGCGAATATCGGTTTTTGCGTTGATATTATAAACGACATCACGATGATTCAGATGTTAAGTGCACGAAGCTCCTTTATGATTAATTACGAAAGGCGGACCGTTGAAATAATGTGCCGTATCAGGGAATAGTCTTTGAACAGTCGCACCGATATAAACGCATTTAAATTATTAATTATTAACCGAGGTTAGAACTCGCGCTTATCTTCATCTTGATGCCCGCAACTCGCTCTCTCCCTCGTCGGTTAATTACGAAGAAAGCAGCTTATCCGAGAGGGTGAGGATAATGTTCCCCGACGAGACTTAAACACCACGGTATCGTTTAAAAGTAATTGCCCCGTCGAGCAGCATCCTACTCCGCTCGCAACTTTGACGCCGGGAAAAAAATGAGACAGTAACGGCAAGTGGCTTCAATTTAGCGCGCGTCAGTTCTTAGCCGAAAGTCCGCTCTAAACTCTCGGGAAGAAAGAGAGAGAGATGTTGAGAAACGGGGCCATTCGAGAATCCGGGCGCTTTGACGATGATAAACCTCGCGCTTTGCCTCGACAATTTGTGAGATTACATCGAGATTACGCGTACAAACATTCGATCGTCGTCACAGTTGTTAACGAAGATTTAAGCGAACTTTTCGGCGTATTACATTTCTTATTACACCGTTTTCGATTACATTGTTAAATTTTGTTTTAGCAATTTTCAGTACTTTTTGAAGGTAAAGCACCAATTCCCGCATACTCAATTCTAAACATTCTTATTGGTTTGGTCTTTAAATACGAATATTTAAGCTGCCAGCACAACAAAATATATGTACATATATTTGGACGTTTGACGTAAGACACGCAAATATCACGGGTGAAATTAGATCCAACTGAACAAAAAATGGCCCTACTATTTTTCAAACAACCATATAAAATTGTGAGTTGTTAGTTAAAGGAGATTTGTGAGTAATCACGCACCATACGGTACTCAGATGAATTGTAATGGTGATGTCTGCGTATTTGTATATTACGTTAAACCGAATAAAAATGTCCTTTACCATTTTGTAGATAATCATGTAGATTTTAATTATTTACTAAGAAAGTACATGATTGTGCACGATAATGTACCAATTTTCTTTAATTAATAACTAAAAATCCACGTGATCATTTGCAAAATAGTAGAAAGTTCTTTTATTCAATTTGGCCTAATATACAAGTATACGGCGGCAGATATCGCCATCACAGTTTATTATTCACAAATCTTCTTTAATTAATAACTCAAAATTTTACGAGTTTGTTTGAAAAATGATACAGAATTTCTTGTTTAGTTTGACCTAATTTATCTGCACAGATGGTATTACGTGTCTTGCGTCAGACACCCTGTATATATGCTTGTATATTTTATGTTGAAAGTCTTCGTTATAAAGATTAAAATAATAAGAATGTGTCCATGATTAAGCACGTGTTCGGATATTAATATTTTTATCTTATGTGTAACAGGCGGAGGTACGGAATATATTAAGAAATATTTGAATACAATACAATATTTAAGAGTGTATTTCGGAACGCGGGTACGAAATTTTATGTCTGCGGAAACTGAAGTTGGTACTTCGATCTCGATCCTTAGTTCATCGCGAGTCATTAACGCCGCGATCCAGGATCTACGAGAGTGCGCTCCAATGCACACATACATCGACAGATAAGAACCAAATGAGAACTCTGTACAAGATATATATAGATATGTACACACGCACACACAGAGAAACAGACACGCAAAGGGTTAACTCCGTAAACTCAACGTAGATATACTCAACGTAGATAGAAAAAAGTCTCCTCATAGATATCCAAAATTACTTTTACAACACCGACAGTCGCCTTTCACAAGGTGCTAGTATAACTGTACTCGTTCATTCATGTCACAACAGAGAGCCTGCTTGAATCTCAACTCACGATAAAACTCGTCAAACGATATCCCGTGCACGTATTTACATGGATCCGTAACGTGGATTTATCGTCCAATCACATTTATAAAAATTTATCGACGAGCGACGAATTGTTTGTTCGCCCCTTCACACTCGTGAATGCATTTAATTCCAATAGCTGAACTCAATAGTGAATTCGCGATCCGCCATGGCGTGGTTGTTTCGTGCTACTCGCAAAAAATTCACCTCGAGGAAGTAACGTGGGCGTTTAGTTTGTACTTCTCGAGAAAGCACGAATGAAGTTCTTGTTTTTACAATGAAATTACAACGCGTGCGACAGGTGACGGGAGACCGGCACGAATTTGACACGTCACATCATGTAATTGCGTGCACGATAGAAGTACGTACGAACACACGGATAGAGATAGAGAGAGAAAGAAAGACATAACTTCACGAGTCGCGTATCATAATTGGACTCACCAACGCAGGGGTTGTGGTTCACTGCACTGAAGATCTTGTCGCAACGCCGTCTGTTACTATTGTTCGGGCATATGCAGCCGAACATCGGCGACAGTCGCAGCTGCGTCCAAGACTCGTGGCAGGCATCCCTGTAACAACGTAATGAATTATAGGAATTGTGAATACGGGGAGACTAGTTTGATCTTTTATCCTACAGATATAGAGGTGCTACGCCAGTCAAAAAGTTTGATTCGATCTTTTATGGTAATACCACGCTAATAATGTTCCGCTGCCGAAATGTGGGTAAAAAACATAAATTAGAATAAACGATTACTTAATTAATGAATCATTTGTTTTCATTGAATAAATAAAGTTTGAAAATCACGAAATGAGCTTTCTGATTGACCAACAGATTGAAGATGAAATATTGTGGAAAATTTTCGATAAATATTCATGTAAGATCAATCACTTCAAAAGTTAATGATCTTAATGTATATTGTCAAGATCATAATCTTGAGTAACATTCAAAAAGCTTAATCCATTGTGTATTAACAAATTATTAGCAAAAGAAGTTTCATAAATAGAACATACTTTTTCGACACCAAATACATCTAAAAAGTTTACAAGTAGACTAAGGCCTCTACCTCGCATCTAACCTGATTTCAAAGCTAACTTTGATCCCTACCTAAAAAATCTAACCTAACTAGTATTACTTTAATATTAGTATACATTACTAAACCTGCCCAAAAAGTACACTCCGATTTCTTTTTAATTTGGCACAAATGTAGAAGTACAAAAAATATTTAGGTCACATTTTTTCATTTTGGCCCACTTTGAGTTTCACAGGCAGTTTATAGCTTTTTAATGTTCTCACTCCTGTCATCAACAAGTACAACAAAGAGAGAGAGAGAGAGAGAGAGAGAGAGAGGGGGGGGGAGTGTGAGAGACACACATTCGAGGAAGCGACCGATGGGCAATTATTCGAGCAGGGCGTGAGTAAAGTATTGCTCGATCTTGATGGCGAATATAATTAAAGTACCTCTCGTACCACCCACGTCGGGAACGTATTTTCCGGAAACGAAGGGCGATGTCGTCGGGGAAAAATAAATAGAACCCATGTCGGACATCTCGCGTGGACGCGGAAATGGGCGAGGGCGATATCCGCTCGACGAAAGGGTAACGAGCAGATAACGAAGCAAAAAATAAAATTGAATGCAAGGCGTTTTTGGTTTGCTGATTATGAATATGAGGTCAACTGTGTAAAATTATTTGTATAAATAATAAAATGTTTAAACAAAACATGTAAAAAGTTAGAAAAAAATTATTCATACAAATAATTTTTTGTTTTGGCCAAGATTCGAACCATTTTAATTAACCATTATTAATTTAGCACAGATTTGAAATATTTCGGTTAGAATTTTGGCTAAAGAAATTTAGAATGATTCGTGTCTCAGCTATGCCGATTTTGTTAAAATTTTAATTAAAATTGCCGGATTTCTCTTTCTCTCTCTTTTGGTTTGGCCGAGATTTGAAACATTTTTGTCTAATTTAGCACAAATTTAAAATATTTCGGTTGGAATCTCAGCTAAAGAAATTTAGAGTAGTTCGTGTCTCAGCTATGCCGATTTTGTTAAAATTATTTAACTATATCTTGTATTCAATTTTATTTCTTGCGCATTTTTGTTGTACTTGATGATAAGAATGAGAACATTAAAAAGCTATAAACTGCCTGCGAAACTCAAAGTGAACCAAATATGACCTAAATATTTTTTGTACTTCTACATTTGTGTCAAATTAGAAAGAAATCGGAGTGTAACCTTTGAGTAGGTTTACTTGTAAGCAAATATATACGTTATTGGAAAAGTATATATATTTCTTGATAACGTATGCCAATATCAAAATGATTAGATTGGATTAGACTAAGTTAGATGCTTGATGGGCTTAGCCCATTTTTTTTATGTGAATTTATAACTGAACGTCGTAGGACTAGGTTTTCTATGGAACTATTTTATTAATAACTTCTCAATGAACAATTAACGAAGATTAAAATCTTTTGCACGTTACTCAGGGCTTGATATTAAGCTTGATGTCAAGGTCATTAACTTTCGAAAAGAGTTGACCTTATATGAGTATCTACAAAATTTTCTGATTGAAATAATAGAAGTCTTTGGATATATAACAAGATTGAGAAAATAAATCAATGCAAAAACCAATTACAGGCTTTTATATTACTGCTTAAGCTTATTAAATTATATCAAGATATGTAGTAGTATATAATAAAAGATCAATATAGTATATAATAAAATATAGTATATAATAAAAGATCAATAACAAACGAAATAACGATAGATAATTACACACAACAGCAAGTAGCTATAACTACATCTCTTCTCTCCCAAAAGTCTCATTTTCATTTAAAATGATGACACAAATATAAATTAGAGCCAGGCAGAAATGTAGGGAAAAGGTTGAGGGCGGACTGGATGAGTATTAATATGTTTTAACCTCAGCTATGGAAAGTAATAAAAACTGTTGCACACATCGAACATGCTTTTACGTAATATAATGTAAATTTAAGTTACGCGATGTAACGTGTACGGCCGATGAAAAGTGGGACGTGCGCATCAGGACATTAACCACATGAATGAGGCGGACGAGGAACTGGTGCCGCGCGCCTACGCGGGGATTTGCGAGCGCATTAATGGGGCCATTGTGGCGCATTGTAATCATGTGTGACGACTGCTTTACAAATATTATTAATTAATCTCGATGAATTCCCGGCTCGCCTTCGGCCGCGTAAATCTCTTGCGCGAAGGATTAATGATTCCCTATCAAATATCGGCGTTTTGCCAAGCGCATTGACCTACATCTGGGGCCCACCCCAATAGCCGTCAATAAATATTAAAATACGCAAACCCCGATATTCCCCGAGCCGCCGTACTTCCGATATTCCGCAATATTTTTGCGCGCGCAAGCACGCGCGCTTCTGTGTTCCAATAATCCGCGGTAATTGGAAGACATTAACGATGCGATACATATATCGATATTTTAATACGTGCATAATTAACGATTGCCACTCTCGCAAAGTATGCTAATGCAGCACAGAATGGGTGGGGAGGGGGAGGGGGGAGGGAGCGGGCAATGACGCTTTATAAACCTGCCGATTTTTACTTGTGCGTGTGATGTAACGAGCAGGTGATCATGAAGTATCAGATTCGCGTTTACGGCTACCTACATCGTGTGAGAGAACGGCGTGTATTATAAATTCTATAATAACTAGAATATTATAGATATTATAATAACTTCCCGTGAGCTTGAAACGGCTTTCAAGTAATTTCTAATTAAAGTATCGGAGAAATATCTGATAACTTTGTTAAAATTATAATAAAATATAAACGTGACTATCAAATTAAAAGTAGAAGTTATTTTGTAATAATGAAACACATAATGTAGTGATAATGTAGTGATAATGTAATGATAATATAGCAATAATGGAACTGCATGTATTATATACAACAGTGTACACGATTTGAATATTTTATATTCGCGAGGCTATATCCGCGTAACTCTATACTTAACTGAAGCCCCAATATATATAAATCAGTAATATTTAAACAACGTCCTATTTGATCATTAGAGATTCGCTTTTGGAATATAGACGATTCGAAATGTTCGAGATCGGAGTGTATTGCTTTTTAGATTAGAATTGGAAAGCGATATTTCGGATATTTCCCATATTGAATATCTTGCATTATTGGAGTTTGGAAAAAAAGCAAATAAAAAAATAAATAAATAGTAATCTAATGGAGCTTGCCGTTTTGGGTTATAATCACGGTAATAACCCACATTGAAACTGCCGATGTTGATTAACGGGCCCAATATCGGCGGCCAAGAGTCGGCAGATAATCTTGTCGCGTTACTGGTTGAGATACGCGGGCTATGGGCCATTATAAAATACAATATTGGACTAGTACAAACCACGGGATAGATCCTAGCTTTGGCTTCAACGAGCTACAAACACGATAGTATGTAATCGCAATAATTATTGAAACGCTAGATAAATTATTTACTACATTTATGTAATAACTGTATCTTCCACATCGCAGGAATTCAGTATTTTAAATCTCACGTTCAATAAATATTTTCTAAAATGAAAATTTTGATATTTTCAATATTATGAATTTAATATTTATTTTATTTGACTTAACAGAGAAATAACCTAAGGCTATTTTATCAAAGAAACAAATTGTTATTACAATTAATTACAGTAATAATTTTTTTTAATTCAATTCCATTATAATAATAACAACTTTATATACATGTTACTACTATTATTTTCGTGTTAGAACAGCCAAAAAATATTATTAAATAATTACAATTTTAGTTAACCATTTTTTCTCTTAGTGTACTTTCGACCTGAACAACATATTTTATTACTTTTAACATAACTGCATTTAGAAAGGAGATCAGTGTATATTTAATATACATAGAAATTGAAGCACCTCTAAATGGTAGAAAACGCACCAAATGCCACTTATAGGTACTAAAGAGGACCTCTTGGTAAAGCTGTAGGTTGAATAGAATCAAAAGGGGTTGGTATTGACTTTAGAGGATCAAAGTGGACGTTAAATGGATTATTGAGATCGAAAGGAGGATCAAAATTTCTACTTGGGGATATTGGTCCGTTCAAACATTTCTAGCAAAACGAACGCTAATTTTGGTCATCACAGAAAGAAGAAATCTGTCCACAAAAAACGCGCGTTCGTAAGAGCGATCGTTTCTCTATGGTGAATTTATCGTGATTGTCACTTCAATCTTATTTTTTCTCACGGGTTTCTAATTTAAACAGTTGCGCACACATTCCGACAACAGATTGCAGATAACATCGGCAAACTCTCGTCGTTGCTGCGGCGAGCAAGTCGCAGCAACGCTTCCTTCCATTCGTCGTGGATCTTTCGTTAGCTTCGGAAAATCGATCGCGGTTACACCGCGCGCGCCATATCCGGCGAGCGATCGAGAGACGGGAGAACTCACTCGACTCTTTCCTTCCCTTTCCTCGTTGAATGGAACGTAGAGAAACTTTATGTGAGATCCAACCAATTGACTTTCGAACTCGAGCGTTTACACGGGAACACTTAACGGACTTTCC